TCCTCCTCCTCCTCCTCGCTCCTCCTCCTCCTCCTCCTCCTTCTCCTCCTCCTCCTCCTCCTCCTCGCTTCTCCTTCGGCGGTGGCGCGCGCCGCCAGGGTGCGGCCCGAGCCACCGCACGTGCCGCGGCGCGGCCGGGGCTGGAGAGAGCTGCCCCCTCCAGGAGCCGCGGCGCGAGGGCGCGAGGATGGGGCGCACGGCCGCGCCTCGCGGGGCGCACCGCGCGAAGAGTGACGAACCAACAACACACACCCATACCCATAGGGGGGTCGGAAAGGGCTATGGGTGCGTGTTGTCGGATGGGGGTTCCCTCTCGAACGGGAGCGTTCCCTAGGGTCCGACAACCCGCACCCATACCCATAGCCAGTCCTCCTCCCAACGACCCCCTTATGGGTATGGGTGTGTGTTGTTCGTTCGTCAAAGAGGCGGCACAGTCGGGGCGCTGAAGAAGGAGCCCTTCTCGTTGGGGAGGGGCTCCGTGTTCCTTCACTGTTCTGCAGCTTGCCCGAGGTTTTCCTCAGGTTTTCGATGGGAAGTCAAAGTTTGACTTGTGGAAGAATGGGGCCCCGTTCCTTATTTAGGGTTCCTTAGGTCAACGCCTCGACTGTAGGGGCGTGCGTGCCCAGGAGGCTGCGGAACCTGGAGGATTCCTTCTCTGACGAGGGCGGCGGTGACGCCCATGGCCGGTCCACGACGGGCGTTCCGCCGCCTGCCAGCTCCTGGATGCCCTGCCTGAGGGTTCCTTGTCCAGCGCCCCCAGCGTAGGCGACGTAGGGTTCGAGGCAGGTATTTTTTCGTAACCACCGCCTGGGGGATCGATCTTCGCGGATCTCCACAGGTGGTGGATCTGGATAGATTCGGGCCCCTGGGGGCCAATGTATATCCAGATCCACCGCCCGCTGGGGCACCTGGACGTTGGCTCCCAGGCGGTGGATATGGATGAATCCCCGCCTCCCACTCGAATCGTTCTCCCGATCCGATCCGACTTCGTGATCCCTCGATCCGATCCGATCGGATGCTTTCCTTACAAGGTGGTCCCAGAGGTCTAGACCACTTCCCCCAGGTAGTTTCTTCGCCCCGAGATGTTTTTTGACGGCCCCCAGAGTCCAAAAACTGTCCAAAAGCGTCCGTCGTGATTTTTGCGCAGCGCGAGGAGGTGGGAGCCGACATCCCCGATACCTTGCGTCTCTGGGGGCGCCGACGCGGGTTTGACGCGGATTCGACGAGGGTTTCGCGCGATTCGATGCGTGGGTTCGACGCGGACAGTGGCGCGATGGGACAGACGAGGTCCCCGAAGGTCTGCCGACCGACCCTGGTTCAGGACCTCTGGCGGGGCGAGGAGGCCTGGGAGCTGGCCTTCCGAGCCGACGTCGACCGACCCTGGCGCAGGTCTGCTCCTCTCTGCTTCCTCCCTGTCCTCGTCTTCTCCTTGGGGGCATGCGGTTGCACGCTGCGCTGCTTCGGGTCTTCGGGTCGCGTTTACTTCACCCTCGGTTGCGGTGCCTTCGTGTCGTTGCCGTTCCCTGAGGTCCGACGCTGCCAACAAAAATGCAACGTCAAGAACACTGCCGACCAGAGTTAAGTCGGGCCTGTCCCTCTTCAGGAGGAATATTCAAACATAGTACAAACATAGTCCGGGGACGACTTTGTGGCTATTTCTGATATTTTTTGTGTATTTTTGGGGCATTCCTAATTTTTCGTCCAGACTACGCCTGTAGGGGGACATGCCCGACCTAGGGCCAGAGCCCCAGGCCGGGCCTCTCTGCGGCTCCTGTTCTGCGCCAGGGGTGGACCTGCGAGGGCCCCCCTACGAGGCCCGAGGCGATGCAGCAGGGCGTGTGGTGCAAACAAAAATCGCGGCGCCGAGCTCTCAGGGTGTCGTGCGCTCGTGGTGCAGTTAATCGACGAGAGCGTTCCAAGACTCGCAAAGTGCCTACTCGCAAACGTCCGAAAAACCCACGTTCGCCTCGCTGTAATATATCGTAGATCCCCCACGGCGGATCCAGGCCATTTGCGAGTAGTGACTTTGCGAGTAGCGGAACGCACTTGTCTAGTTAAGTAGGGCCTGTCCGTCTACAGGAGGGAAAGTCAAAAATAGTCAAAAAATAGTCAGGGGACGATTTTTTGACTATTTTTGCTCATTAGGGGGGCATTTTTTTGAGAATTTTTCGTAATCGCCCAACATCCCCGTGTAGGGGGACACGCCCGACGTAATGGTACAGTGGAGACCCATGCCAAGAAACACCCTGCTCGCCCCCAGGTGCCCTGGGTTTCTTGGGCTTCGAGGGTTCTGCGATAGAAAGCGCGACGTGCCCACGCCAAAAGTGAATGGGCGCCCTGGGGTCTCAGGGTTGGGTTTCTTGTGGCAGGTTTCTTGTGGTCGAGCCCCTACCGTAAGACATTCCCTGGCGCAGGACCTCTGGCGGGGCCTGCGGCACGACCCCTCGGAGCACTGGCGGCTGCAGTCGCGCCTGACGGCCGGCCTGGCGAGCGCGCGCGAGGGCGCCGCGCTGCACGAGTGGGGCGTCCGCGTCGAGAGGCCGTGGGGCACCGACTGCAGCCGAGGGGACGACGACGACGACGACGACGACGACGACGACGACGACGACGACGACGACGACGACGACGACGACGACGACGACGACGACGACGACGACGACGACGACGACGACGACGACGACGACGACGACGACGACGACGACGACGACGACGACGACGACGGCGGCGGCGGCGGCGGCGGCGGCGGCGACGGCGACGACGACGACGACGACGACGACGACGACGACGGCGACGGCGACGACGACGACGACGACGGCGACGACGAGGCGACGACGACGACGACGACGACGACGACGACAACGACGGCGGCGACGGCGGCGACGGCGACGACGACGACGACGACGACGACGACGACGACGACGGCGACGGCGACGACGACGACGACGGCGACGACGACGACGGCGACGACGCCCTCCGACCCACGCCGATCCTTCGGTAGCAGCTCATGGGAGTCTTGCATGTCTTCGACACCGCTGCTCTTCTTGGAGATCGGCCACGCGCAGAGGGGGGTAGGGCGAGGGGGAAGGCTTCTTAGAAGCACCCCTGCTTCTTAGAAGGCGCGGGCCCTCTCTGTAGATGTCGGTCTGGTGATTTCTAAGAATCGGCCTCCTGAGAAGCCTTCCCCCCTCCCCCTACGGTCGGACCGAGGTATAAGCTCGAGGTCGGTTCGGGGAGGGTACCCGCATGTTCTTCGTATTTGTCGGATGTTCTTGTGCATCCTGGGGAGGGTACCCTAGGATGTTCTGTGTGTTTTGTCCGGCGGATGGTCTCATGCTCTCGAAGGATGTTCTCCTGTCCTAGGTCCGGCTGTACTTCCTGGCGCGGCGCCTTCGTTGGGCGGGCCTTCGCCGTCGTCGGGGGCGGCCCAGAGGGGGGTGATGATGACTGATCAGGGGGGGCGATGACTTCGTTTTGTCGCCGAGGGGAGATGGGGGGAGGGCGTTTCCATGGACTCTTGGGGGTTGCCTCGCCTCGGGTCGCTTCCCTTCCCAGCAGCTGAGCCTCGCCGAGGGCGTTCGGGGAGACCTCCTGTGCGCCGCCAGCCCAGGCATGCGACGCCCTGATCTTCTCAGTGCGGCCTCCCCAGAAGGCTAGACGTTACCCCCTCTCCCTGGGGCCGGCTTCTCACCTGGGCCGGCACGGAAACGGAAAGAGCGCTTCAACAACTGGACCGAAATTACTCACACCACCGTTCGTACTGGGAGCCTTGGCGTTGAGAGCTTGTTACGTCGCTCGTACCTCGCTCTTTCCGTCATCCCGAGCCGTTGTGCGGCGTCCCCAGAAGGCCCGACGTTAGACCCTCTCCCTGGGGCCGGCTTCTCTCATCCCGAGCCGTTTTTTGCCCGTCTCCAGGGCCCGGGACAAAATCGGATCGGGATAACTCGAAATCTCTGAGAATCGGCGGGTTTGGAGGATGTATTGGGCGCCGCGGCCGCTCCAGAGCGTTCCGGAACGCTCTGAGAGCGCTCCGGAACGCTCCGGAGCGAGTCATCCCGATCCTATAGCCCTGTTTTAGGCGAGGGCCCCCGAGGGCCGAAAGCAGTGGGAGGCCTCCGTGCTGAGCTCTTCACGGCGCGATCGCGTCTGGGAAGGAGAGCCGTCGCCGCGCCGGCCCGGCGCCTCCCCGCAGCTCGGGCCAGAGCGCAGGCCGGGGGAGGCCTCGGGGATCAGCCACGCGCAGAGGGGGGTGGGGGGAGTCACCACCCACCAAACCACCCCAACCCAACCCGAAGGTCCAAATTTATCCTCGATTTCCAGTGGGGGGGGGTCGGGGAACGTTGAAAAAACACGTGGTATCCGTACCCCCCCCAACCCGAAATTCGGGTCAAATTCGGGTCTTCGGGTTGGGTTGGGGTGGTCTGGTAGGTAGTCAGGGAGGGGGGAGGGCTTCTCAGAAGCACACCCCTGCTTCTTAGAAGGCGCGGGCCTTCGCTATAGATGTGAGGCCGGCGCCTTCTAAGAAGCAGCCTCCTTCCAAGAAGCCCTCCCCCCTCCCCCCACCCCCTTGTGCGCGCCGCCAAGGGGAGCACCGGCCTCGTCGTCCTGGCCTGGGGGGCCAGGTTCGGCGTGCGCGTGTCGTGGCGCCAACATCGCAGCTCGGACCTCGTTCGGAGGGTGATGTTGAGTCGGGCCTGTCTCTCTACAGGAGGAATATTCAAAGACAGTCAAAAAATAGTCGGGGGACGATCTTTCGACTATTTTTGCCCATTGGCGGGGCATTTTTTGAGTATTTGTATTTTTTCGTCGGAGTTCCGCCTGTAGGGGGACAGGACCGACTTAAAAGTAACGGGCTGGGCCCGAATTGTCCTGCAGAATTTTTCGCTGTGGATTTCCAAGCGAATTTCGCGCGCATTTTTTTTTGGGGGGGGGGGCCAGTGAAGTTCGCGTCGTTCTTCGCTCGCCGTTTCGGAATTTTGCCGATGCAGCACGTCTGCGAGGTTGGTGCAACGACACGTGCCGCGCTGCCCGAGGCCTGGAGGGCATGGACGCAGGTCCCGCCCCGACCTCTGACGTTCCCAGACCCCCTCGCGCTGTGAGAACAACATCGCGACGGGAGGTTTCTCACCATTTTCGGCCTCCGGGGCTTAGTGGGCCCTGGAAACGACAGGGCATTTTTTTTACCAGTTCCGTCTTACCGTTTTTTTACCGGTTCCGACGCCGTTTTTTTACCGGTTCCGTCGCTGTTTTTTGACCGGTTCTGGCTCCGGGTCCAATCCTGGAGCCTTTTTTTTGCCGTTTCCGGTCGCCTCTTTTTTGCCGTTTCCATTTTCAAGGAACATTTTAATGGAAAGGGTGAAAAAACGGCCCTGCCGTTTCGGGGGCCCACAAAGCTCCGGGGGCCCTCACCGGGCCTCGGGACCGTCAAAAAACGACTCGGGATGAAGAACCGGTCCCGGGGAAGGGGTCGAGACCTCAGGTGGTCGACGCTGTGGAGAAATCACGGCGTCGGGCGTCTCGGTTCGGGGCTCAAGAGACGGGGTCAACGCAGACAGGGGTCAGTCTGCGCGCCGGACCTTGCAGGATCCTGCAGAGCCAGTGGTGCACTGACCCGGGTTTGGGGTGCAGGATCCTGCAGGATCCCGCAGGAGTTCGCAGGATCCTGCAACGCCTGAGTGACTGGGGTTTGGATTGACCAGGGTCAGCAGATCCCCCGATCCGACGTCATGGTTCTGTCACAGCGTGGCTCCCCAGAGGTCTGGACCCCTTCCCGGAGGCCAGTTTTACCAGTTTGAAACATATCCCTATCCCTATGTTTGACATCACCTCACCTCGATGCCGATCTTAAGGATTCCCTCAGTTTCTGAGGGCCTATCCCTAAGATTGTCCTCGCTTTTTGCTCGCCCATCTTAGGGATAGGGATACGTTCGAGGCTGGTTACAGTTCTTCATCTGGAGTCGTTTGGTTGTCGGTCCGGGGCCTGGCCAGGGCCCCCAGTGGCCGAAACTTGCCACAAACCTTCCGCCAGGATGTCTTCACGACGCGAGAGGGTCTCGGGTTGAGCCTGGCCAGGGCCGGTGCAGAGGTGTACAGCTGGCGTCGGGCTCACGCAACGGGGTCAGCGCTAACGGGGATCGGCCAACTCCCTCTGGCTGACCCTGGCTTGCCTTACGTAGGTCGGGCATGTCCCCATACAGGAGGACTGTTAAAAAATAGCAACAGATCAGCATGGGGACGATTTTTTGACGATTTGAAACTTTTTGAGCATTTTCTCGCTATTCTTAATTTTTCCTCCAAAATCCGCCTGTCGGAGGACATGCCCGACCTAATACTCAGCGGCTGGCCTGGCTTCGCGACGGGGCCCTGGCCGACCCGGCGTGGCGCTGACCCGGGTCGGTGCGTCCCCGATGGCGCCGACGCCAGCAGTGATGGGCAAATTTTCCACCACCCCTACCATAGGACGGGGGGGCGAGGGGAGGATGAGGAGGTCCTCCTCCTCCTCCTCCTCCTCCTCCTCCTCCTCCTCCTCCTCCTCCTATATATGGTAGTGGTGGTGGAAAATGGGCCCATCAAGCAGGGACCCGCTGAGGGTGCGCTGCGGGGAGCTGGAGCACGAGCCGGTCTACTTCAGCAGGCGCGCGGAGGACCGGCGGCGGCGCTCCCGAGGGCCTCCCTGCCATGCAGTCGACGCGCATAGTAAGGACGCCCGCCTTCTCTAGGGTACCCTTACTACAGTCAACGCGCATAGCAAGCACGCCCGCCTTTTCTTAGGGTACCCTTACTACAGTCAACGCGCATAGGAAGGGCGCCCGCCTTTTCTGGGGTACCCTTGCGTCCTTGCCACTGCGGCCCGTCCTTTGCCGCTTCCACTGGTCGCCCGTCGCCCCCAACAAGTCCCAGCTTCGGCCTGCAAGGGTCCCGCGCCCTTGCCACCCATCCTTCGGATGCGTTCTCGCTGCGAGGCCCAGGTCCTCTGCGGGGGCGCGAGGAGAGCCGTAGTTCGCGCGTGGCGGCCCGGGTCCCAGAGCCGTCGCCCCCAACAAGTCCCAACTTCGGCCTGCAAGGGTCTCGCGCCCTTACCACCCATGCTTCGGATACGTTCTCGCTGCGAGGCCCAGGTCCTCCGCGCTAGGATCGGGATAAATCGCTCCAGAGCGTTCCGGAGCGCTCTCAGAGCGTTCTGGAACGCTCTGGAGCGGCCGCGGCACCCAATACATCCTCCAAACCCGCCGATTCTCAGAGATTTCGAGTTATCCCGATCCGATTTTGTCCCGATCTTCGCGTCGTCCGCGGGGGCGCGAGGAGCGTCGCTGTGCGCGCGGGGCGGCCCAGGGCCGAGAGCCGCGCCCTGCCAAGGGGGGCGGTTCGGCGGCGCGAGGGCGCGGCGATGTTCGCGCGCCGCGCGAGGGCGGGTGGCCCAGGAAGGCCCCTTAGGTCAAGTCGGGCCTGTCCCTCTACAGGGGGCAATATTCCAGAACAGTCCAAAGATAGTCAGGGGACGGACTATTTTTTTGGTTATTTTTAGACTCTTCTGGAGGATTTTTCTTGACTATTCTTGATTCTTTTTCGACTATTTTTGGACTATTTTGGGGTATTTTTGGAGTGGGCCTGGCCCCTGCCTCCTAAAAGAGTCCCCCCGCCTCCTCAGACGCCCGCCCCCCTTCTCGCTGCGTGGTATCCGGCCCCGAACCGACTCTCCGGGTCGGTCGTGGAGGCCGCCGCGGCCATCGCGGCGGCCACCAGATCGGGGCGAGGCTCTTGGCAGGGAGTGGCACGCCTCCTCCCTGGCGCCCCCCCCTGCCCGTGATTCGCAGTCTGGCGACAGAGGCCGTTGCCGCCGCGGCTTTGGCCGGCCCGCGCATGCCGGGCTTGGCCCCCAAAGCGTTTTTTCACGGAAGGGTATCGAGAGGAGGCTCCGCCCACCCCCGATGCGAGTCGCTCCCCCCCCCACCCCTTTGTGATGCAGAGGTGGCTCATGGTTGGCAATCCACAGCGACAAGGGGCTGTTGCCACCGCAACTTTGGCGGGCCTACGCCGCCCGCCGAGTCTGGCCACAGTTTTTTTTTGTTGTTTTTTGTTTTGTGTTTTTTTTTGTGTTGTTTTTTGTTTTCCCCCCCCCCCCTCTCGCGAAAGGGCATCGAGGGGGGGCCCCGCCCACCCCCGACACGGGGCAGGCCCGTCTCGAGCGGCAGCGCGCCGGAGCTCGCACCCGCGGATGCTGCGGCAGCGACCAGTCCATGCCGACCATTGCGCTGCTCCCATCGTGCTTGTCACCACCCCCCAACCCACCCCAACCCAACCCGAAGGCTCAGATTTACCCTCGATTTCCAGTGGGGGGGTGGTCGGGAAACATCGAAAAAACATGTGGAACCCCTACCCCCCCCCACCCGAAATTCGGGTCTTCGGGTGGGGTTGGGGTGGTCTGGTAGGCAGTCATTGAGGACCACATCCCATAGATAACTTCGAGCACCCAGAAAATACTGCCCGACACGCCAGCGAAGTGCCGAACGCGTATCGCCTCCCAGGACCCGACGCGTGAAAACCCTCCAGGATGGTCATCTGCGCCGACGCTGGCGCGTAAGCTGCTAGCGCAAGGTCGCGCGCAGGCGCCCTCGTTTCCAACGCAGCGTGCCACGCTGGCTGCGCGCGCCAGCCGCCGCATGAGGTCGCTGTGCCATCTCGCGTGGGACTCGTCGCTCTAATGGGCAGCCCTGCTTTTTGTTGTTGTTTGTGTGTGTGTGTATATATATATATATATGTGTGTGTGTGTATGTGGGGCTTGCCTCCGGGGTGCCCTGGGTTTCTTAGGTTTCGATGGTTATGGTGCGGAAAGCGAGACGCTTCCACACCAAACATCAGTGGACGTCCTGGGGTCTCAGTGTTGGGTTTCTTGTGGATGGTTTCTTGTGGTCGAGCTCCTACTCTTAAGGGCCGATTCTCGCGCAGCCACCCTCGCGCTCTTGCGGGCCCTCCCCGTGCGCGCCGACCCGAGAGGACTACTTCCGCAGGGCCGCGCTGCCGCCCGCAGAGCTCGAGGTGCCCACATCCAGGAAGGGCTTCGACCGCAAGCCGGGGCCCGAGGTTCGAAGAAGAAACAACGGCACGTACAGAACTTACGGAGCCCCTCTCGGGCCGGTGGGGATGGTTGGTGGCCCAGATGGGGGGTGAAGAAAAGGGCCCTGACGGGGCCCTTGAGGGCCCTGAGGGGCTTTCGGGCCCTCTTCTTCACCCGCCATGTGGGCCACCCCCCACTGGTACCCGCCCGATCCTCGCAGGATCTTGGATCTGCGCCTGGGCCCCCTAGCGGCGCCTCCGGCGCCGCTCCTGGCGCGCTGCGCGCGCCAGGGGAGGGGGTCCAGCGTCGATCCAGGAAATCCGCGTTTTTTTTTGTTTTTTTTTTTTTTTTTTGTTTTCCTTCCTCCAGAGGTGTGGACCTCTCCTGGCGCACGCCTCGTGCTCGACCGCTGGCTGGTCTTCTGCTCGGACTGCCCGGAGGAGCGGCAGGTCGTGGACACGTTCGTGCAGGAGCTCGAGCCCCTGGTCGGCGAGGTCCTCGAGGCCGACACGCTTGCGGGTCGCATCTTCATCGCGCCGCCCACCGTCGTGGAGGTGCGCGCGGACGCGGCGGAGGCTCGGCGGCGAGCGAGGGGGGGTTCGGGTTCCGAGGTTCGGGAATTCGAGGCTCGAGGTTTTCGGATGTTTCCGTCGGCTCTCGGCGGCTTGCCCTCCTCGGGATGCCTGCGAGCAGCTGCGCCTCGCCGCAGGCCTGCGGGGGTGCCCCGATCGTCCTTGAACGCCCGTTGGAGACCCGAGTGATGCCACAAAGGCCAGATTCGGCGGCGAGCGAGGGGGGAAATTGAGAAGAGGGAGAGGGCCTTCTCGGAAGGCGGCGGCGCCTTCTGATAGGCTTCCTGTGTCTTCGTGTAAGGCGCAGGGAACTTCGCAGAAGGCCGTGGGACTTTGGAGCCTTCTGGGCCGGCCCGCCCCTCTTCGCGTCTCGCCCGAGCTCGCCGCCGAGAGGAGTGGGTGGAGTTCCTCCGGGCCTACCGGCCGCCCTGGCCCGCCCAGAGCACGAAGATGGCCATGGTGGTCATCCCGAGCCAGGTCTCAGGAGCGGCCTTGGCCGAACCGGCCCCTGGCAAACCATCCCCCTCCGTGACGTCTCCCTCGCCTCGCCCCAAGACGCAGGTGTGCGGCTGGAGGGGAACCCGAATGGCGAACATTGCTTTGCTAGGGGTCGGTCGGTTAGGCCGCGCCCGAAGGTCCGCCGCCGCGACCAGTACTACTACCAGCTCAAGAACCTCCTCAACTTCAGCCCGGCCTTCTGCTGGCGGTCGCAGATGGTGCTCAGCGCCACGCTGCGGCGGCCGAGCCAGCGGCAGCACGTCTGGAGGAACATCCTGCAGCAGATGCTCGTGAAGCACGGCGCCTGGCTCTGGGTCTTCTCCCCGCTGCCCTACCGCGGCCGCTGCGCCATGGTTGTGGGCATCGACGCGTGCCGGCAGTCGAAGGACTCGAGAGCTCAGAGATTGCCAAACATTCGCCGTGTTGGAAAAACACACAAAAGCATACAAAAAACACACAGTGTGTCCCCACCGTTTTTTTTTTTTTGTGTGTGTGTTTTCCCCCCGCGGCGACGACCTCAGCGCGGGCGTTCGAGGTTGAGCGCCGCCAGTGGCCCGGAGCCGACCAACATCGAGCGTGCCGCGCCACCGGAAGGCCGCGATGTGTCGGGGCCGAACGGTCCTCGCGGTGTCAGAGGCCCACGCAGAAGTCGCCGCGGCACGAGCCCCCGCCGTGCATCCCCGGGGGTCCGCGGGGATCTCTTGGGGTCGGGGCCGCGGGAGGGCAGCGGGGAGGAGGTCCGGCGCCGACCCGGGAAGGCCGGGGCGGGCCTCCGAGGGCTTGTGCTCGTGCTGTGCACTTTTGTGCACTCGTGCAGGGTCGACCCCTGGGGCGGTGCGCTCTGGTCAGCTCGGGGGGGAGTCCTGCAGTGGCCACGAGAGCAGCCCCGGGGGCCCAAGATGGCCTGGACACGGAAAAGACGTTTCTGCCCGCGCCGTCTGCTTGTCCTCCGAGGCGCCAGGCGGCGAGGGCTGCACGTGCACACTGGCCCTGGCCAGGCCCATCCCGGGTGCAGGTCGTGCGCGTGTGTGTGTGTGTGTGTGTGTGTGTGTGTGTGTGTGTGTGTGTGTGTGTGTGTGTTTGGTGTGTGTGTGTGTGTGTTTGGTGTGTGTGTGTGTGTGTGTGTGTGTGTTTGTGAGTGTGTGTGTGTGTGTGTGTGTGTTTGGTGTTAGGTGTTTGTTGTGTGTGTGTGTGTGTGTGTTTGTGAGTGTGTGTGTGTGTGTGTGAATGTGCGTGTGTGTATGTGCGTGTGCGTATGTGCGTATGTGCGTATGTGCGTATGTGCGTATGTGCGTATGTGCGTATGCGTTTGTGCGTTTGTGCGTGTGCGTGTGTGTGCGCGCGCGCGTGTGTGCGTGTGCGTGTGTGCGTGTGTGCGTGTGCGCGCGCCCGTGCGTGTGCGCGCGCGCGCGCGCGCGGTGTGTGTGTGTGTGTGTGGTGTGTGTGTGTGTGTGTGTGTGTGTGTGTGCGTGTGTGTGTGTGTGTGTGTGCGTATGTGCGTGTGTGGGTGTGTGTGCGCGCGTGTGTGTGTGTGTGTGTGTGTGTGTGTGTGTGTGTGTGTGTGTGTGTGTGTGGGTGTTGTGCCTCCCGCTGTCGCTCCAGCCTCCGCGCCTCCCTGCCCCTCGGCCCTCCTTGCCCCTTGCGTCTGTCGCCGGCCTGGTTCTCCTGCTTCGCCCTCTGCGGGGCTGCCGCTTGCTGCCCGGCTCGCCCCCCCGAGCCTGAAGACGGGCCTGCCCTCTGCAGGAGGAACATTCAAAGATATGTTAGAAATAATCAGGGGACGATTTTTCGTCTATTCTTGCCAATTTGTTTTTTTTTCGCCCAAAATCAGCCTGTAGGGGGACATGCCCGACCTAAAACACGGGTGCCCGTGCCTGCCCTCGGCATCGCTCGGACCTGGGCATGTCTCGGCGGCGAGCGAGGGAGGGAAGCGAGAAGGAGAAGGCCTTCGCAGAGGGCCTGGAAGTTCCCCGGCCCCCTCCGAGAAGTTTCCGGCACCTCCCCCGAAGACGCAGACAACCTCTCGTCCCGGAAGGCGCGAGGGCTCCCGAGAAGCCCCGCCGCCCTCCGAGAAGGCCTTCTCCATCCCACTTCACCCCCCGCTCGCCGCCGAATGTCTTCTCGGCGAAGACCATCGAGGAGCATCCTGGAGCACCGAACAGCACAGGACGCGCTCGAAGCCAAACAACAAGGCACGGGGAGGGGGCGTCCGAGCGACGGCGAGGGGCCAGGCCAGGCCAGGAGGGCACGCGCGCGCACCGGGCCCCGGCCCACGGGTTGGCCTCGCCGGGCTGGCTCCTCGCTCGTCCTCGTTCCTCCTCGCTCCTCCTGGCTGCTCCTCCTCCTCGCTCCTCCTCGCTCCTCCTCGCTCCTCCTCCTCCTCGTCCTTGCTCCCCGCCCCTCCTCCTCCTTGCTCCTCGCTGCTCCCCCTCCGCGCTCCTCCCCGCTCCTCCTCCTCCTCCTCGCGCCTCCTCCTCCTCCTCCTCCTCCTCCTCCTCCTAGCTCCTCCTCACTTCTCCTCCTCCTCTCCGTTCCTCCCCGCTCCTCCTCCTCCTCCTCCTCCTCCTCCTCCTCCTCCTCCTCCTCCTCTACCCCTCCTCCTCCTCCTCCTCCCTCCTCCTCCTCTCTCCTCCTCCTGCACGGCCGACCCCCCCCCCCCTGCTGGGAGGACAGCCCCTCGATCCTGACGCTGTGCGCGTCGCGGAACCCGTACTTCACCTCCTACTACACCACCTGGCGCGCGCAGGAGGCCGACAGGGCGAGCGACCACCTCGTGCCCCCAGGCGACCTGCTCAAGGACGGGCCCCGGCCGTCGCCGCGGCTGCCGTCGTCGCCGTCGTCGTCGCCGTCGTTGCCGCCGTCGTTGTCGTTCTCGTGGTGGTTGTGGTGGTGGTGGTGGTCGTCGTCGTCGTCGTCGTCGTCGTCGTCGTCGTCGTCGTCCTCTTCGTCTTCTTCTTGCTCTTCCTCTTCCTCATTCTCTTAATCTTAGGTTTCCTCGTCAACACAGGACCCAGAACGTCCCGACCCCCACATTACATTGTACACGCAACTTGTTTAAATCCTGTATGGGAAAATGTGCGGGAGAGACACGGGGGGCGCTCCTGCAAACATGTCAAGGGAGAGGAGATCATAATTTTCATTGTGAGCAGTTGCAGAAGCAGGACAGGACGAGGACGAGGCGGAGGAAGAGAGGAAGGCTGCTCGGGATAGAAGCTTCCGCCCGCCCGACGACCACCATGCAGAATCAGTATACTCCGGATTCCATAATAAAGTAGGGGGGGTTACATTTGGCGGGGGGGTCTGATTTGAGCTGTCTTGAAGGGTTAGGGGGGGTCTGGGCAAAGCGCCGCCCTTTCATGGATTGTCTGGGAGGGTCTAAAACTTCTCGTCTAGGAGGGTTGAGACCCCCTCCCTTTTATTACGAAATCTGGAGTAGCTTCCCATGGCATCGAGAGCGAAGGCTACCTCTGCCTCCGCGCGCGATCCCGCGGCAGAGCGCGCTCGAGCCCGCGCCCTGCGCGGTGGCGGCAGCCGACGCGGCGGCAGCACCGGCCGAGGAACCAGAAAAACGACGAGGGCTTCGATGCCATCGACGTCGGACCGCAGAAGCTCAAACGACGCGAAGATCGGGGCAGAATCGGATCGGGATAACTCGAAGTCTCTGAGAATCGGCGGGTTTGGAGGATGTATTGGGCGCCGCGGCCGCTCCAGAGCGTTCCAGAACGCTCTGAGAGCGCTCCGGAACGCTCTGGAGCGATTTATCCCGATCCTAGCCCTGTTTTAGAAGTGGAGGGAGCTGATCAAGAAGCTCCGGCGACTGGCGTTCGAGCGGAGGCTGCGGAATTCCTCGGGGGCCCACCCGAAGGCGATCAGGGACGCTTGGCGCCATGTCAGCGGGACAGGGGGGGGCAGCACTCGAGCAGCAGATTTCACAGCTGGGCGCGGCGCTGCAGGAGCAAAAGGCATCCAACGTGGCGACTTTTGCGGCGTTGGCGATACCCTACCACGGCCAAAGGTGGTGGACACTAAGCTGATCGGGAAGCCATGGAGCTTCCACGGCACGGACGACCAGTGGCAGTCGTGGAGCACGACGCAGGGAGCGTACACAGGGGCCATTTCAGAAAAGGCTTTTTGAGTTGATGGGCCACGCCGATGTCACAGAAAATCCAGCGAGCGCGGCCTCGAAGGCTGACTCTGACAGAAGACTCTCGAACCAGCTCTACAACGTGTTCGCGATGCTGCTGGAAGGTGGGTCACACGATAAGAAGGTGGCGCTCATTGGTAGCGGTCAGGGACTACAACTTTGGCGGGCGCTCGCCGATCAGTACGAGGGAAGAGCCGTGAGAAGGCTGACTTGCATGTTCCAGCAGACCGTGAGCTTCGGAATCGAAGCAGACGACATAAATCAACGATTTGGGGCTGTTCGAGATGATGGTCGGCAAGTGCGAGGCGGTGAGAGCTTTCAGCGGGAGGAGGTCTCGCGTCGCGTCGTGATGAATTCTTGCCGCCTCAAAGCGTGCGACAATATCAAGATGGATATCGCTGGCATCTACAGCCATGGGCGTTTGCGCGCTCGGGCAGGGCCATGCGAAGAGGTGCGACATCTGCGGCGAGCTGGGACACCTTCGGCGCGATGGTTGGTGCCGGGGTCGACCGGGCGGAGACAGGTGGCAAGGGCAAGTCCAGGGGTGGAGGCGGCGAAGGGGGCGGCAAAGCAAAGGCGCAGGCTACGACGGTAAGAGCGGTAGTGAAAAAGGCAGGTGGAGTGCGTGGCGGCGCAGGGGGTGGCTGTGGCGGCTGGGGCAACGGTGGCGGCGACCGTGGCAGGGGCCGCGGCCACTTCCAAGGCGGGCGTGGGTTCTGCGGCATCTGGGGCCGCAGGGGGTCGATGTGCCGTATAATCTGCAGGCCAAGAACCAGATTGACCAAGTTGGAGGAGATGGCCAGCAGCCTCAACAGCAAGCTCAGGAACGCAGAGTACCACCACCGCGGCCGCGTCCATCACAGCGGCGAACGGCCTCCATCTCGGCAGTGTCTGCGGCCTCGACGCTGCCGGTGTGCTCGCTCAGCCTGTGCGGCCTGGAGAGGAAGGGCGATTTGCGGCGTCTCGTCTGGGCGACGCGTCCAGATCGGAGTCGACTCGAGGCCCGGCGCGACGGCGCGGCCGACGAAGCTGCTCGGACTGCCCGGCGACGGGGGCGGCTGAGTCGAGGGCCGTTGTCGAGTGCTCGCTGGCATGGGGCCAGTGCCTGGGCATTCTAGACCGTTGGCAGCGGATCTATCGCGTCGTGTCGCAGGAGGGCCAGTCTCTCAAGATGAGGTGCACGTGGCCGACGTGAAGACGCCTCTCCTGAGCATGAGCGACGCAAATGGCCAGGGCCTGGGCGTTCACTTCTGGCCCGACAACTTCAATGGCGCCTGCGCGGAGCTGCTGGGTGCCGGGCTTCGCGTCAACGTCGAGAGGGCCAAGGACGCTTTCGAGGTCGATGCCGCGGTGGCCCCGCGTTCGGGGGGCCAGAGGTAGGCCTGGCCGTGAGACCGACCGCGCGGAAGAGGCTGCTGAGCGGCAGGGTCATTTTGGCGCCGCTCGAGCAGGATCAACCTGAAGTTCTCCAAGGCGCGCCTGGGCGCGGGCCGGTGCCGTCTGACAAGTCGGGCATCCGCGAGGGCCCCTTGTGGCGAGTCGGGCGTCGGGCGACCGCGGCTTCGAGTGCAGTCGACTTTGGAATGGGTGGCGGGGCGCAGCGCGTGGCAGGCAATGTGCGGCAGGCACAGGCACGGCAGAACAACGTCGGCAGTTGGCGGTCTCGCGCGCCGTTGCGACCGTTCACGCGGACTGCGGATTCCTCGGACAGAAGGATGAGTTAGAGACTCTCGAGAATGAGACGCCTTGTGCGTTGCGTTGACGAGTGAAGAATGGCCCCCCGCCCGCGGGAACCCGCGGGCTGGACTGTCGCGCGGTGCAGCCGACAGGAGTCAGACGCGAGTGCTTGTCCGAGATCGCGGCGCAGGTCATCATTCAGTCGGGCCGTTGCAAAGCGTTTTCAAGAGCGACGGCGAGGCGGCGCTGCTCGCGTTGCAGAAGGGGGCGATCTCGCAAGCTTGGCGCACTGGCGTGGAGGTGGACGTGGCCTCTGAGAGGAGTCTAGTGGGCGACTAGCAGAATAATGCATATCGAGAGGACCACCTGGGAGGTGCAGTCCCTGGCGAGCGTGCTGGTGCACCGCGCGGCCGAGCGGCCGTGAGTTGAAGTCCGAGTCGGGGGGCCCGATCGTCATCTGGGCCATCCGCTACTCGGGGCAGCTGCTGAGTCGGTTCCCGAGGTCTGGCGACGACGGGCGAATGGCGTTCGAGAGGCGCCGAGGTCGCCCCTGCGCGAGGGGGCTGCCGGAGTTCGGCGAGCGCCCGATGTTCCCCGCCGTGGCTGACGGCAAGCACGGGGGGATGATGGGCGAGAGGTTTCCCGTGGGCATGAGCGTGGGGCCCGTGGGCGGGGCCGACGAGGTGATTGTGCTGGCGAGGGAAGTCCACCTCGCGGCCAGCGCCATCTGGCGCCTGCCGGAGGAGCAGCGAGGAGAGAAGATCTTCGCGGAGGCGCGCAGAGGGCTCTCATGGCGGGGGCCCAAGAAGACGGGCGACAATGCGGATAATGTGTTTCCTTATCGAGACTGCGGCCCTCGTCTTGCCGGAGGCGGAGTGGCCGCGGGCCCCGGCGGCCGGGCCTGCGGCGGGACCGATGAGTTTATTCGGAGGGAGGTGGATGTCGGGCCAGTGGCGGAAGGCGGCTATGGACAATCAATGGATTCGCCGACGGCTGCAGAGGCTGCGAGGCGGCCAACAGGACGGTGGCGGCAGTGGCGCGCCGCGAGTTCTGCCGATCACGCATCGAGGGGCTCGCGTCCCGAGACGAGGCGGCGAGGTCGAGGCATCTGGGGGCGAAGAAGCGGGGGCTCGACGGCGGCGCGGAGGCGCCAGGCCCGGTAGCGGGCGCCCTGTCGAGTGCAGCGGCGGCGGCGGCATCTTCGTCGTCGTCGTCGAGTTCGGCTGCGGATGCGGCGCCCGTGGAGGTGCAGGCGCGGGCGGCCGTGGAGGTCAGCCTTTCCTCGTCGCCAGGGGCGCTGATGGACGTGGAGAACGGCGGGGGGCGTTCGGCCGAGGAAACTGGCGCCGACGTTGCCGGCGACGCTGAGATCTAGTAGCTCCGCTTGATAGCGAATGCGGTGAACTGCGACCTGGCGAAGATCGGCGGCTCGAGGTGCGAGATCGGCAGCTTCGAGGCGACGGTCTCCGAGATCTTCTGGCGCGGCAAATTCCTGGAGAGATCGAAGGGTTTTGGACTGGTGCTGGGCTTCGCTGTTTTTCTCATTGCCGAGTGGGGCCTGAGCGACCTTGGCCAGAAGAAGGAGACGGAGCGGCTGCGTGAACCGCAGCGGCCACCGTTGTTGATCGGATCGCCACGCTGCGCGGCATGGGCGGGCCTGCTCAGCTTCGGCAGCGTGGGCGAGGATACGATGGGCAACCTCATGAAGGAGGCGATTGGCCGCGTGGATACGTGCGTGACTATGTGGCGTGGCCGGCTGGACGACGGACGCTACGTCCTGCGCGAAGCCCCGAAAGCGGAGAGGTCGTGGCGTGCCGAGAGCATCATGCAGCGGGAATGACTTCCAGGGCGTCATGCAACGCGCCGAGGGCATCATGCGCGCGCGCCGAGGGCATCATGCAACGGCGCTCATTTGATCAGCAACGCGGTGATGCTTAATCGTCGGGTCGCACGTGCATGCGAAAGGCCGTGACAGGATCAGATTGGAGATCAATCCAGATCTTGGTCATGCGGAGGTCATCGTGCGCCAGTCGGACTTGAGGGACAAGGGCTCGCAGGCCGTGGCCAACCCGACCGAGGAGGGGGCGACGTGCTACGACGAGACCCCGCTTGAGGGTGAGAAGGGGTGCGATCTGCACCGGTCTCTTTGCGCGCGTTTCAGCGTCGCGGCGCAGGGCGCCTCGCGCTTTCAGTGCGTCGTCAACGGAGTTCAATGGCAGTGCCATCGCTCGGAGGTTTGGCGAGGCTGAAGCGGTTGACGAGGCTCTTCAAAGGTGGGCCCAGCCAGATGCGTGCAGCATTTGGTTGAGTAGTGCAATGACAGCAATGCGATTGACGCTTGCTGCGACCCAGGCTGTGCTGGCGACCTGGCGGATCGTGAGAGCACGAGCGCAGTCGGGGTCTTCTGCGGCGTGCATCTGCTGAGAAGTTGGGTCGGCGCTTAGGGCGCCTTTGCGCTGTTGAGCGGCGAGGCGGATTCCACGGTAGGGGTGATGGTGTCGGCAGTGGGCCTCGGTATCCAGCCCCTTGGCGACGTCGGCGGCGTTGGGGGGGGCATTGGGGCGCCGTGGCGTCGGTGAGATCAGGCACCTGCGCGCTCCGCTGCTATGGGCCCATGAGAAGCGGGTTCAAGAAGAGTTCCGTATCAAGGAGGTGCCGGGCGAGGAAATCACGCAGACCTTGGCGCTAAGGAGCTGGCGCGACCGGAGATGGAGAAGCACCTCGCGGCGTGCGGCTTCAACTTCGCCCGGGGGAGTCTGGAGCCCGACGGGCGCGAAGGAGTTCGAGAGGGGCGTGGCGGACTCGCAGGAGTTCGAGAGGTGCGTGACGGTCGTGTTGGCCGGGGTTGTCGGCGGGCGGGCTCAAGGCGGCCGAGGCCGTGGGCCCCGTGCTCCACTGCCTATTCCTGAGGGTGGTGGTCTTCGAGGCGGGCGTGTCTGTCGCGTCTTCCGAGTTGATGAGCGGCCCGCGTCCGGCGTGCGGGCGCGGCCCTAAGGAGGGCTGCTCAGGGTTCAATCTTTCGCTCGCCCGGTAACGTATCAAGGGTCAGACTTGCAGGGGCCCGTCGCTAGGTCGCGTAGTTTTGCCCGATCGCCTGCGCGATTCTCGTTCGTTCGCTGCTCCTAAAGCTGGCGCAGAAGAGGAAGATGAGGCAGGTGATGATGATGACGATGCTGATGACGATGCTGACGATGGTGCTCATGATGAACATGACGACGAGGGTGCTGCTGATGACGATGAGGAGGGTGATATTCATCATATTGATGGATACGACGATGGCGATGATGATGATGATGATGATGATGATGATGATGGTGTTGGTGATTGTGATAGAACGGATGATGCTGATGATGACAATTACGATACTGATGATGATGATGATAACGATGGTGCATGTAACGATGATGACGATGGTGATGACGATGCTGATGATGATGATGCTGATGATGATCATGATGATGATGATGATGATGATGATGATGATGATGAGATGATGATGCGGCTGACGCCGATGATGGTGATGCTAATGGTGATGATGATGGTGAGGATGACAATGATGATGGTTACGGTGATGGTGATCTTTATGATGATGATGATGCTGATGATGATGCTGATGATGATGCTGATGATGATGATGATGATGATGATGCTGATGTTGAGGATGATGATGCTGATGCTGATGATGAGGATGATGATGATGCTGATGCTGATGCTGATGCTGATGCTGCTGATGATGCTGATGATGCTGATGATGCTGATGCTGATGCTGATGCTGCTGATGATGATGATGATGATGATCATGATGATGATGATGATGATGATGATGATGATGATGATGATGATGATGATGATGATGATGATGATGATGATGATGATGAGGAAAAGGAGGGGGGGGAGGAGGAGGAAGAAAGGGAAGGGGAAGGGGAGGAGGAGGGGGAACGTGTCGGCTGTCCCCCCTTCCGCCCCGCTCGCTGGCGCAGCTCAGCTTGGTGTCGCCGTCGCGTCTCATGTCCATCCCTACCCACTCGCTAAATTTTCCGTCCTCCCTGGAATCAGATGGCGCTGGGGAATGGATAGACGTCGCAGCGACTGTTGCACATCGTCCTCAGCGTCCCCAGACGCCTAGAGCTCCGATTTTTTTTTGGTGCGTGGTCCCGTCGACCTCCCGGGCCCCTTCCCGGGGGCCGGCTTTTCATCCCGAGCGGTTTTTCTTGACCCCGAAGCCCGAAGTTGGCGTCCACAGCGCAGAGACGGCGACAAACGGGCCGCTACGCTACGATATTTCCGAGGTCCCAGGCGCCTGGGTCGGGCGTCAGCGTGTCTCGGCTGCGCGTGAGAGTGACCCTTTGCCAGAGAGACCCTTGGTGCAGTCTCACAGGGGTCCACCCCGTGCACCGGCTCGTGCGCTTGTGTGTGAGACCTCCGCGGTCCCCTGAAGCCGCGCAGCGAAGGTCACTCGTGTCCAGGGCTGGTCTTGCGTATAGCCGCCGCCGAAGCATGTGCACAGACACCCCCCAGTGGACTGTTCAATGGCCTCAGGGCGCGGTGGCGGTGTATTTATCACTACGAAGAGCCGGCGATTCTGCACAGGGGGATCTTGTCGGCGGTTGTCAGTGTGGATTGGATGGCCAAGTTTACCTGCTTCCAGAAGACTAAGTATCTTTGGCCTCTGCTAAATACCCTTATCACCTTTAGCCACGATCGTCAATGGACAGTTTGGGAGTCGTTACATGTATAGACCCATTCGGGATGGATGCGTCTATAGGCAACGCGGCTTTTGCGTTCGACGCAGTACAAGGTCGGAAGAAAGGGTTCGCAGATCCGTTTGCGGTATGTTTCTGTTTTAGAGCATGGCCCACATTGTACTCCAGAGAGCCGACTGCTCTCTCCCGGTCCGCAGGAGGCCGTGCTGTGCTTCTTCAGAGAGACGAAGCGGCTTCCGGACCCGCTCTCGCTCGCCGCCGCCCTCCGCGCGCGCGTCCGCCGCGCGGGCGTGCGGGCTCTGGGTCCCTGGGCCCGCTTGTGCGGCGCATGCGGTGAGGATGGCGGAGGGGGACGAGAGGGACATGGAGGGATATCGAAAGACGGTGGTGGTGACTGCGACGACGACGGGGGCGACGGAGAGAAGGAGGGATGTACGGAGGGAGTGTCACGATTATGATGGTGGTGGCGGTGACGACATCGACGGGGACGACGGAGAGGGGGAGGGAGATGGGGAGGGAGAGGAGGATGATAGTGGTGGTGACGACGACGGGGACGACGGAGAAGCGGAGGAAGGGGAGGAGGAGGATCGATGGATTTGGAGGAGAGATTCGGAGGGGCAGAATGATTTGGACCAGGACGAGGACGAGGAGGTGAAGGAGGAGGAGGAGGAGGAGGAGGAGGAGGAGGAGGAGGAGGGAGGAGGAAAAAGGGGAAAAGGACGAGGCGGAGGAGGAGGAGGGGGGAGGAGGAGGAGGAGGAGAAGGAGGAGGAGGAGGAGGAGGCAAAGGTGGAGGAGGAGGAGAGAGGAGGGGGAGGAGGAGGGAGGAGGGAGGTGGAGGAGGAGGAGGAAGGGGAAAAGGACGAGGCGGAGGAGGAGGAGGAGGAGGAGGCAAAGGTGGAAGAGGCGGAGGAGGACGAGGAGGAGGACGAGCAGGACGCAGAACAGGGGAGGGGGATAGATGAGGATGAGGATGAGGATGAGGATGAGGATGAGGATGAGGATAAGGATGATGATGATGATGATGATGATGATGATGATGATGATGATGATGATGATGATGATGATGGGGAGGAGGAGAAGGAAGAGGAGGAGAATGAGGAAGAGGAGGAGGAGAAGGACGGGAGGGGGATAGGATAGTATGATCGTTATGATGATGATGATGATGATGATGATGATGATGATGATGATGATGATGATGATGATGATGATAATGATGATGATGATGATGATGATGATGATGATGATGGTGATGACGATGATTATGCTGATGCTGATGCTAATGCTGCTGCTGATGATGAGGATGAGAACGAGTTGGAGGAGGAGGAAGAGGACGAGGAGGGCGATGATGATGATGAAACGGATGATGATGATGATGATGATGATGATGATGATGATGATGATGATGATGATGATGATGATGATGATGATGATGATGATGAGGATGAGGATGGGGATGAGGACTATGCTGATAGCGATGGTGATGGTGATGATGGTGATGACGGTGATGATGATGTTGATGATGATGCTGATGACGATGATGATCATGATCATGATCATGATGATGAGGATGAGGATGATGATGATGATGATGCTGATGATGATGCGGATGCTCATGCTGATGATGATGATGCTAATGCTGATGCTGCTGCTGATGATGAATATGATGATGCTAATGCTGATGATGATGCTGCTGATGATGATGATGCTGACGCTGATGATGAGGCTGCTGATGATGCTGATGCTGCTGATGATGGTGCTGATGTTGACGACGATGATGACGATGCTGATGCTGATGTTGGTGCTGATGATGCTGCTGTTGCTGATGATGCTGATGCTGATGTTGCTGCTGATGATGCTCATGCTGCTGCTGATGATTCTGATGCTGATGATGAGGACGATGATGCTGATGCTGGTGATGCTGATGATGATGATGATGCTGATGTTGATGCTGCTGATGATGATGCTGATGCTGCTGCTGATGATGATGATGATGATGCTGCTGCTGATGATGATTGTGATGGTAGTGGTGATGATGGTGATGATGGTAATGATGATGATGCTGCTGATGATGATGCTGCTGATGATGATGATGCTGAGAATGATGATGATTCTGATGATGATGATGATGATGATGATGATGATGATGATGTTGGTGATGACGATGATGATGATGATGATGATGATGATGATGATGCTGGTGCTGATGATGATGATAATTATGATGATGCTGATGATGTTGATGATGATGATGGTGGTGGTGGTGAGGATGTTGCTGATGATGATGCTGCTGATGATAATGAGGATGCTGAGATTGCTGATGATAATGACGATTTTGATGATGACGATGATGATGCTGATGATGATGATGATGCTGATGATGATGATGAAACTGATGATGATGATGATGATGATGATGATGATGATGATGATGATGATGATGATGATGATGATGATGATGATGATGATGATGATGATGATGATGATGATGATGATGATGATGATGATGATGCTGATGCTGATGATGATGATGATGATGATGATGATGATGATGATGATGATGATGATGATGATGATGCTGATGATGATGATGATGATGATGATGATGATGATGATGATGATGATGATGATGATGATGATGATGATGATGATGATGATGATGATGATGATGATGATGATGATGATGATGATGATGATGATGATGATGATGATGATGATGATGATGATGATGATGATGATGATGATGATGATGATGATGATGATGATGATGATGATGATGATGATCATGATGATGATGATGCTGATTTCGATGATGATGATGATGATGATGATGATGATGATGATGATGATGATGATGATGATGATGATGATGATGATGATGATGATAAGGATCCCGCTCTCCAAAGGGCAGTTGGAGCCGACACGCTCGTGCCCACCGCAACTCTTCACTCACCCACGGGGTCATTGGGCCCCCTTCCCCAGGGTTTCCGAGCAAACACACCCCAAATTGCATCAGCATGGCGAGTCCTCGACCCGCCCCGACGCGATGGCCCACAGCCGCCTCCCACTGCACAGCGGCCTTGTCGCTGTGGCGGCCATCGCCTCCAAGTCGTCGTAGGGGAAGAAGAGCTTGCCTTCACCAGGGGCGGGGGCACGTCCTCCTAGCCCTCTTCATCGAACGTCGGCTGCTCCACCACCCCGTCGCAATTCGCAGGCAAGCTGTGGCTGCGGACGTCGGGCTCCCACGCGCCGCCGCCCAGCGCTCCGTCGTACGGCCTGGCAGCCTCCGCGGCAGCGACACCCGCGCCCGCGCGCAGGATGGCCGAGTCGGGCAGGGACTCGGCCAATTTCCGCGCAGGCCGTCGTGCAGGCCGTCAGCTGGGCCTGCCGTCGCGGTGGCCGAGGCGGGGCGCCGCCGCCAGCAGGCCTGCCGTGCGGCTCGAACCCGAGCCTGTCCAGCGTACTGCGGACCCGCACGAAGAGGCCCGTCTCGAACACGTACTTTGTAAAGCGCCTCCCAGCTGCGCAGCCGAGCCTCCACCTCCAGGACGTGGCGCATCATGCGGGCGTCCAGCATCGCCTCGCTCTGCAACTTTTTGCCGACGTGCTCCTCCACGTCGTCCAGCACGAACCCGAGGGCCTCGGGCTTCTGCTGCTCGTCCCCCGCGCCGTCCCCCAACACGTGGGCCTCCGGCTCGTTCAGCTTGGCGTCGTCGGCGAGCACGTCCTCGACGACGACCACCGTCCGCACGGTCGTCGGCGTGGGCAGTCGTCTCGGCCTCCTGGCTCGAGAAGCCCAGCTCGGTCAGCAGCACCTCTGCCCGAGCCCACCCTCGGCACGTACGGCTGGGCGCCTGACCGCAGCGGCGCCCAGGACGACGGCGGGTGAAAGGGCGCCGCATCGCGGCGCAGCCCAGGCGCCTGCCGCACTCCCAACCAGCGCCCCTGGATGATGCTGATTGTGATGTTGTTGATGATGACGATGATGATGATGATAATGATGATGGTGATGAGGATGAGGATGAGGATGAGGATGAGCACGATGACGATGATGCTGCTGATGATGATAATGATGATGAGGATGATGATGTTGATGATGATTACGATGATGCTGATTCTGATGATGGTGGTGGTGATGATGATGATGATGATGATGGTGATGCTGATGATGATGCTGATGATGATGGTACTGATGGTGATGGTGATGGTGATGATGATGCTGATGATGCTGCTGCTCATTATGCTTTTGCTTATGATGAGGATCATGACGATGACGATGATGCTGAGGATGATGATGACTGTGACGGTGATGGTGATGCTGTTGACGATGATGATGATACTGATGATGCTGCTGCTGATGTCGATGCTGATTCTGATGATGATGGTGATGATACTGATGATGATGATGATGATGATCATGATGAGTAATCTCATGTTGAGGATGATGATGATGATGATAATGATGATGATGTTGATGATGCTGATACTGATGATGATGAGGATGATGATGCTGTTGATGGTGATGATGCTGCTGATGATGATGATTCTGCTGCTGATGGTGATGATGATGCTGGTGATGATGATGCTGGAAATGATGCTGATTATGATGATGGTGGTGATGATGATGATACTGATGATACCGATGTTTATGCTGATGCTGTTGATGATGATGATGATGCTGATACTGATGATGATGCTGATGATGATGACGATGATGATGCTGGTGATGGTGATGATGCTGATGATGATGCTGATGATGATGCTGATGATGCTGATGATGATGACGATGATGACGATGATGATGATAATAATGATGATGATGATGATGATGATGCTGATGCTGATGCTGATGCTGATGCTGATGCTGCTGATGATGATGATGCTGATGACGATGATGATGATGATGATGATGATGATGATGATGATGATGATGATGATGATGATGATGATGATTATGATGATGATGATGATGATGATGATGATGATGATGATGATGATGATGATGATGATGATGCTGATGCTGGTGATGATGAGGATGATGATGCTGATGATTATGATGATGATGATGATGATGATGATGATGATGATGGTGATGGTGATGGTGATGGTGATGGTGATGATGATGAGCATGACGATGCTGATGCTGATGATGCTGATGATGCTGATGGGGATGGCGATGATGACGATTATGACTATGATGATGAGATGATGGGAGGGAGGAGGAAGAGGAGGTGGAAGAGAAGGA